CGGCAGAGAGGTCGTCCTGCTGGTTATGGAGTAGAAGAGAAGAAAGTTGCTGGAAGCCTGGCGGAAAGGATGTGCAGTGAGTTGGCCGCCACTGCTGGACCCAACAACTCGAGGGCGTCACGGTTGAGGGTCGAAACGCCCAAGGAAGGTTGCACCGTCTGATGACATCCATCTCCTCAAGCAACACAGCACTACTCCACTACATAGGTGAGTGGAGTAGATTAAGGCAGCATCCTTGCTGTATTCACCAACTGTTAACGTCTGGGCAACCAGTGACTTCCAGGAAAGTATGGATGGCAACCGGGGAAGATCGGTGACGCTGGAGAGACAGATGACCACCAGGAAAGTCTGGCCTTGGGTGTGTAGGGGTAGTATCCCTGCACGCGCAGCACTCGCACCGGAGGAGCGAGGGCAACCAAACCTTACTGCAGCACGACTTACAGAGCAATACCCCCAGAGTCACCCGAGAGGGGGGGAGGATGAGGGACTCGTTGGAGCGGACAACACGGTGATGACTCGGACTGAAGTACGGACGATGAGAAGGATGACGCAAACAACGTTAACAGGAGAGAGTACTGTACCGGAAGCGAAGTGCCACTGCGGGAAAGTATGCAAGAACAACAAGGGGCTAAAGATTCACCTAGCGAAGACCAAGTGTGGGAAAGAGGTGCTAAAGGTGCAGCGCACAGACATAGTATCTGAGACGCAGGAGGACTCCAGACAGGAGGAAACCCACAGTTCTAGGGACTTCCAGGCACCAGAGGCGCCTCAAGAACACAGGAGGTGTCCGACTCAAAGCAGTGCAGAAAACCAGCAACAAAGTAGCAGTGAGGCCACAAACTTAGAGAACCAAAACCACCCAACGAGAGAGAAGATTAAGTGGCCCAAGATGAGTGAATTGAAAGCGTGGAACCAGCTTGACCAAGATCTAGACAAGGTGCTGGAAGCAACCTTAGCTGGAGCAGTAGAGCACAAAGTCAAGTCCTTGTCAACGATAACGTACAACATTGCTCGAGAGAGATTCGGGATAGAAGAAAGAAAGAAGAGCCCCTGCAGCACAAAACAGCCCAACAGAAGGGAGAGAGAGATTAAGAAGCTGATGAGGAAAGAGATAAAAGCGCTAAAAAAGCGGTATAAGAAGAGCAAGGAGGATGAGAAGGAAGGAATTAAACAGCTGACAAACCAAATCCGAAGCCGCTTGTGTAATCTACGTAAGGCAGAGAGCTTAAGAAAACGGAGGAAGGACAGAACAAACAAGAGGGCCCAGTTCGTGAGGGACCCATTCAGGTTTACAAGATCGCTGTTGGGAGAAGCCAAGTCAGGGAGGTTAACAAGCTCCAAGGAAGAAGTTGAGGAGTTCCTGAGGGAGACGCACAACGATGAGTTAAGACAACAGCCCTTGGAGGCAATTTCTGGTCTAGTGACTGTGGAAGAACCAGAGTTTCAGCTAGACACTAGTGAACCGTCGTGGAAAGAGATCCAGGAAGTAGTAAGAAAGGCCAGAGCAGGGTCAGCCCCCGGTCCGAGCGGGATCCCCTACAAGGTGTATAAGAAATGCCCCTTGCTCTTGCGGCGGTTGTGGAGGCTGCTCCGGAGAATCTGGGTGAAGGGGACCATCCCTGAGTGTTGGAAAAAGGCGGAAGGTTGCCTGGTACCAAAAGAGGAGAACTCATCAACCATAAATCAGTTTAGAACAATCTCACTGCTGAGTGTAGAGTGCAAGATCTACTTCTCCATACTGGCTAGAAGAATGGTGGCATATGTGACGAAAAACAAGTACATCGACACCTCTGTGCAGAAAGGGGGAATCCCCGGCTTCTCAGGATGTTTGGAACACACAGGGGTACTCAGCCAGATGATCAGGGAGGCCAAAGTAAGCAAGGGGGACCTGACAGTGGTGTGGCTGGATTTGGCCAATGCGTATGGCTCCATCCCACACGCGCTCATCCAGGTAGCGATGGATCACTACCATGTCCCCCCAAGAGTGAAGAGTATGATCAACAGTTACTTTGGGGGAATCCAGCTGCGGTTCAAGACGGCCAGCTTCACAACGCAGTGGCAGAAGTTAGAGAAGGGAATTGTGACAGGGTGTACCATCTCACCTATCCTGTTCATAATGGGGATGAACCTGCTCCTTGATGCAGCAGCAACTAAGGCGAAGGGCCCCAGGATGAAGTCAGGGGCGAGACAGCCACCGTTGAGAGGGTTTATGGACGACATCACCCTAACAACAATCTCCCACATAGAAGCGAGGTGGATGCTGGCAGAGTTGGATCGCACGGCAACGTGGGGAAGGATGAAGTTCAAACCTAAGAAGTCTAGATGCATGGTGATAAGGAAAGGGAAGATCTCAGGAAGATTCAAGTTATACGTGCAGGGAGACCCCATCCCATCAATACAAGGCAACCCAATTAAGTGCCTGGGCAAGTGGTACGATGAAACACTTACAGACAAGAGAAATGTCCACAGTACAGTGGAACAGACCCAGGAGTGGCTAAGGAGAATAGAGAAATCAGGCCTCCCAGGGAAGTTTAAAGCGTGGCTGTACCAGAATGGGTTGTTGCCGAGATTGATGTGGCTGTTAACTGTTTACGAGATGCCACTAACGTCTGTTGCAGAGATCGAGAGGAAAATCAACAAGCATCTGAGGCGGTGGTTAGGAGTGCCGCCAAGCTTCACCGCGATAGGGCTGTATACAAAGGCAGGGCAGATGCAGCTCCCGCTGTCGTCAGTGGAGGAGGAGTACAAAGTAGCCAAATGCAGAACTGTCATGCTGTATAGGGACTCTCACGACCAGAAAGTTAGAGATGCCGGAGTCACAACCAGAGCAGGTCGGAGGTTCAAAGCTGACTCACTGGTAGACCAAGCAGAGGGAATGCTGGTGTT